AAATATAAAAGCTAAACCTGAGGCATCAGAACAGACTGTGCAGGGCTCTGTGGTGGGTGAATAATGTTCCTGCTGTGCCCCCTGGGCACTCTCTCCCTCCAGGTGTGTCCTGGGGAGGCTGGAGTGTCTTTGTTCCCCTTCAAGCAGGGAGTGGGTCCAGGCTGGCAGGAGCTGGGCAGGCACAGAGAGGCAGTGCTGGGAGGGCTTTCAGTGTCTGCACACCCTGGAATGAGGAGGGGAATGGTGGGCAGGGATCCCCAGCCCTGGGCTCTCCATTTTTGGGGTTGTGGGCACAGAAGGATTTGTGGGAACACATGGGATGCTTGGCTGGGAGAGGCTGGAGATGCAGAGCTGGAACTCAGTTTGCTGTGGCTGCATCTTGTCAGTGTGGCTGCCATCCTCTTCCTGAGGCAGGAAAATGAGATTCATTTTCCAGCAGGGATGGAACCCCCATCCCCCTGGCCCCCAGTGCTGGGGGTAGGGGGCTGTGACCATCCTTTGCTGGCTCCAGCATGAGCCCAGAGCTTGGGAGATGAGCATCCATCCTCTCCACTCTCTCCCCTTCTCTTCCATTCCCTTCCCTTCCTTTCCCATCCAGGCACAGCTGTGCCAGTCAGACACAGCTCCTGGACTGGCACAGAGCAACCAGAGAACCACGAGGGGCTCAGGAGCCTCCCCACTGCTCCCTTTCTTTGGCACCAGCAGTGGAAGGGTTACAAGGAAATCCTTCTGTGCAGAGCTTCTGGAATTCCAGATCCTCAGTGTGCTGGAGAGAAACACAGCAGGAATTGGAAATATTTGACCCCAGTGATGGGGTGGCATTGCTGGACATTATTTTGGACATGGTTCATGGAGCCTGGGGGGGTGAGGGCAGCTCTGGGTGCTGCAGCCTTGGGGTCACACGAGGACACACAGGGAGGGCAGGGATGCTGCTCCAGCCTTGTCTGTGTCCAGGAAAGGGGTGGATTTCTCCTGGTGGATGCTCCTGGGGAGCAGCCAGCCCTCCTGCATCACGTGGAGGCTCCTTCCTCGCCCTCCCACTGCTGCTCCTGTCTGTCTCAGAGCTCACAGTGACTCCTGTGGTTTCTGTGTCCCTTGGGGAGCTGGCACGGGGCTGGCCATGGGGACAGCAGTCTGCTGTGACAGCTGGGCTGTGCTCCCCAGCTGCTTCCTTCACCACCTCTGATCCCTTTCTAGTCATCTGCCCAGCTGAGTCAGTTCAGGCAGGCAGTGCCAGGGGAGGAAATGCCTGCTCAGGGAGCTGAATCGGCTCCCTGCAGCACCAAATGACCTTTAGACCAAAACTGAAGGAGTGAAAGCAGTTCCCTGGTATTCAGCTCATCTTCCCCAGCCAGTGCTGACCTGTTCCCTGTGCCAGGTGAGGAATCACCTCCTGCAGGGAGTGGCTGCAATGCAGGTGCTCTGTGGACCTTGTCCTGCTCAGCTCCTTCCTCCCACACCTGTGGCTCCCCTTGGGGGTCCTGCAGTGCTGACAGCTGGAGAAGGTCCCTCCCATTCCAGCTGGGAAATGCAGCCTGGAGCATTGGGATTGCCTAAATATACCCAGACCAGGCAGTCAGCATGGCCTGGATCCCCAGCATGAGCCCCAATTGTTTTCCACCCCGATGGGACACACTCTTATTAGACAGGAAATAACCTGGAGTGTCAGTGAAAAGCACTTTGCTTCTTCTGGGGCATTTTATTGACTTTGCACCCCTGCAGCAGCACAGGAGCCACTCAGGCAGTGCTGCAGCTGCCCCAGGGGCAGGGCAGTGTTTCAGTGACACAGTGGGATGGCTGCCACCTCTCTGCTGCAATTTCGTGTGCACTCCTGCAGTGACACAGGGGATGGCTGCCATCTCTCTACTGGAATTTTGTGTGCACATAGTGGGCCCCGTGCTCCTGGTACTCTCCCTTTGTCATCCAGGTGTGCTGGAAGGAGGTGAGTGAGGCTGCCATGGAGCCCCCAGCCCAGGCTGCCGTGGCCCTCCTGGGGCTGGCCAGCACCTCGACGTGCACACCTGCTCCTCGGAACAGCAGGTTCAGCTCCAAGCACATCCTCTCAGGAAAGCCAGGGAACATGGAGGAGCCCCCTGAGAGCACGATGTTGCCCAGCACGTGTCTCCTGGCCTGCTGAGGCACGGCCTGCAGGCTCTGCCAGGCCAGCTGGTGCAGCCCGGGGCTGCTGAGCTGCAGCAGCTTGGGCCGGAACAGCGGCTCGGGGCAGCAGAAACGCTCCTTGCCCAGGGTGATCCAGTGCCCGTCAGGGGTCTGGAATCTGGCTGCATGATGGGATCCCTCCTCCTGGAGGTCTCCCTCATAGTCCAAGGACACGTAGCAGCACTGCTCCTTCAGCTGGGTCAGCACCTTCTTCGTCAGGGCCTGCAGCGCTGAGGGCTCCATGTGGCTCTGCTGCTGCAGCAGCTGGTGCAGGTGCCTGGACAGGTGATCCCCGGCCACCCCCAGGCTGCGGGTGCCCTTCCTCAAGGTCTGGCCCTCCCAGACGGAGGTGACATGGGACAGGCCTGCCCCAGCCTCCACGGCCAGCCCAGTGACCCTGCCGTGGGCACAGAGTGACAGGAACCCGGTGTTGGCCAGGTGCAGCGCGGGCACCCCCAGGCCCTCGATCAGCACCTCGGCCGCCTTGGCCCGGGCAGTGCCAGGGCAGGACGGGGACTCGGCCAGCAGCACCGGGTGCTCCTCTGGGGACACTTTGAGGCAGCAGCGGAACAGGTGGCTCCACAGGGTTCTCATGCCGTCCCAGTCCTCAACCAGGCCGTACTTGAGCGGGCAGCGCCGCGGGGCCGAGCACTGTGGGCTCTCCGTGCCGGGGCAGGGCTGCCAGGGGGTGCCCAGGCTGCAGGGCTGCCAGGGGTCCCAGGGGGTGCCCAGGCTGCAGGGCAGCAGTGTCCTCAGCACGCTCTGGGGCTGCTCCTGGCCTGCAAAGCCGCCCCGGGTGAAGCGGCTGCCGCTGTCGATGACCACCGCGGGCTTCAGCATGGCTGGTGCTCCACAGGGGTAACAGGCATGGAGGAACAGCCTGCAGCGGGACAGGAGGGGTCTGGTGAGGGCAAAGCAGGCTCAGGTGCCTGCTCTGCCCCTCTGGGGGACAGCAGTGTCTGCTCTAGAGGTGTCTGGGTTTGTCCCTCCTCACTCCCTGTCTTGCTGGGCATCCCTCCTTGTCTCCATCCCCTGAGGTTCTCTGACAGTGCAAGGAGAGAACTTGAGGTGGTTTTAAGGAAGCAAGGGAACACTGGACAGGAAGGTTGAGTGGTTGGACCAAATCCTGGGCTGTATCTGAGGGACAGGGGCCAGAAGGTCAAAGGAGGTGACTCTGCTCATCTACTCTGCTCTTGTGAGACCCCATTTGGAATACTGTGCACAGTTCTGGCGTCTCCAGCACAAGAAGGACATGGAACTGTTGGAACCATTCCAGAGGAGGCCACAGAGTTTCTGAGGGTACTGGAGCACCTCTCCTCTGGAGAGACGCTGAAAGAGCTGGGGCTGTTGAGGCTGGAGGAGAGATGGTTGTGTGGAGACCTCCCAGCACCTTCCCAGGGTGTGAAGGGGCTACAGGGAAGCAGGAGAGGATTCTTTGTCAGGAACTGCAGTGACAGGATAAGGGGAATGGGATCAAACTGAAAGAGGATAAATTTATGCTGGGTATTAAATGCAAGAAGTTCTTTACTGTGAGGGTGGGCAGGCCCTGGCACAGGGTGCCCAGAGCAGCTGTGGCTGTCCCTGCATCCCTGACAGTGCCCAAGGCCAGGCTGAACAGGGCTTGGAGCAACCTGGGACAGTGGGAGGTGTCCCTGCCATGGCAGGGGGGGATTGGAACTGGATGATCTCTGAGGTCCATTCCAATCCCTTAACATCCACAGATTCTGTGAATGCTGCTGCCAGCAGAGCCCATAGCACATGGAGAGGAGCTGAGAGGATCTGTGATCCCAGGTGGCAGAGAAGGGCAGGAGTTTGGGGTGCCTCTGTGTGTGTCCAGGCCCTTCCCTGGCTCTCTGTGCCTCCCAGACCTGCCCCTGTGGCATGGTGTGTCTCTTGACCTGTTCTTTGGGCACTCTCCAGGCCAGGTGACCCTTCAGAGGACACAGTCTCAAGCTAGGTCAGGGAAGGTATAGATTGGATACTAGGAAAAAATTTTTCACCAAAAGAATAAAGTACTGGAGTGCTCTTCCCAGGGAGGTGGTGGAATCACCATCTCTGGATGTGTTTAAAAAAACACTGGCCATGGCACTGGGTGCTAAAGTCTGGGTGAGGTGTTAGGGCATAGGTTGGACTCAATGATCTTAGAGGTCTCTTCCAACCTCATTATTCTGTGATTCTGTGATTCTGTGATTCTCTGATTCTGTGATTTGTTCTTCCCCAAGCATCTCACATGCCCCTCTGGATGCACTCTTACACCACCCATCAGAAATTCCTCAGGGAGTGTCTCATGGGAGCAGACAGGCTGGCACTGTTTCCCTGGGCAGAGAGGGCACAAAGCCAGCCCTGCCTGGGCCTGCCAGTGCTGGGGGGGTCCCTGGAGGAGCTGCCAGCACCCAGGGGCCACCACAGGCTCCCAGCCTTGTCCCCAAACCCTGCAGTGAGCAGAGCAGTGTGTGAGCAGGGGGCACAGGGGATGCTGTGGGGCCCTTCCTGGGGCTGGGGGCTGTCCCTGACAGTGACCCTGACCTTGTGGCTCGTGTCCATGTGCCCTCCTGGAGCTGGCAGTGCTGGGCCAGGGCTGGCAGGGCTGGGCTGTGGGTGCTGGGCAGGAGTGCCCATGGAACCATGGCTGTGTGCCCTGCTGTGATCTCACAGCAATGCACCCCGGGGGTTCTTCTGCCCCACAGCCTCACTTCTATCCCCAAGTGTCACTTGTGGGGATAATTAAAATTTGATAAAAAATAAACCTCGTTTGCTTTATTTAAGGGACAGCCCCTTAAATATGGCTCTGTTGCCCCTGCACAGAGGCAGATCTGACAGATCCTGTCCCCTCTCCCCAGAGGTACGAGACAGCCTCCAAGATGGAGCAGTTCCTGACGCGGTTCCTGCTGCGGGAAACCATGCACCAGCTGCAGTCCCTGCAGGCGTCCCTCGAGTGCGCTGTGGACACCGTGGAGGAGCAGGCGGGACGGGAGAGGTACCGGGATCGATGGGATGGGATGGGATGGGATGGGATGGAATGGGATGGGATGGGATGGGATGGGATGGGATGGGATGGGATGGGATGGGATGGGATGGGATGGGGTGGGGTGGAGTGGGATGGGGTGGGATGGGATGGGATGGGATGGGATGGGGTGGGATGGGATGGGATGGGATGGGGTGGGATGGGATGGGATGGGATGGGATGGGATGGGATGGGATGGGATGGGGTGGGGTGGGGTGGGATGGGATGGGATGGGATGGGATGGGATGGGAGAAGAGAGGTACCGGGGTGGGACACGAGAGGTTCCAGGGTAGGACAGGAGAGGTACCAGGGTGGGATGGGAGTGGTGGGACAGGGTGGGATGGGAGAGGTACGGGGATGGGAATGGGAGCGGTACCAGGATGGGATGGGGGAGGTACCAGGCAGGATGGGATGGGATGGGATGGGATGGGATGGGATGGGATGGGAGAGGTGGGACAGGGTGGGATGGGAGAGGTACCAGGTGGAACACAAGAGGTACCAGGTGAACATGCCCAGCCTCTGTCCCCAGTCCCGCTCCTCACTGGGACAGAGAGCCAGGAGCCCTTTTCCCAGCCCAGTGCTGAGCTGGCACCTCTAGGAATGGCTTCAACCCCTCCTTTTGAATTTTTTTTGTTTTAATTCCAGAAAGGAGATCAAGAAGTCGGAGACTTCGGTTGGCCTGAGGGCAGGGAGGCGCTGTGGGCGCAGGGGACAGAAGAACGTCTGTCTGTCCCCAACAGACCCCTACTCTGGGATGCTGACAACAGGTACCTGCTGTTCCTCAGTTCTTTGTGTCCTGCTGGAGCCTGGAGGGGGTGTGGGACCAGCACAGAATCACAGTAAGGTGGGAAAAGATCTCCAAGGTTGAGTCCAGCTGTTCCCCCAGCACTACCAAGGCCACCTCTAAGCCATGTGCTCAAGTGCCACATCTCCAGCAGCACTGGGCAGTGAGGGCTCCTCCAGGATGGAGCCCGGAGCATCTCACCCAGGTGCCAGCTGGAGCTTCTGGGGGATGCTGTGTCTCTTGGGCAGTAGAAAATAAATCAAGTTTTTTGGATTAAATCCGAGGTTTAGAAGATTTTGTGGTGTTTGGGCCTTAAGCAAGCTTTGGCTGTGACAAAACTGAGCTTTTTTTGGGTGACACCTCTGTGCCCTTTGCCCTGCAGGCGTTTGTGTCGAGGACAACAGCCAGTGGATGGCTCAGATCAACAGGCTCCAGCAGCTCATTGAGAAACTGGAGTGCAAGGTGTGTGCCCAGGGGGTGCTGGGGCTGCCCCATGCCTGGGCACGGCCACGTCAGTGCTGGGACACCCCTCCCATCAGTGCCAGCACCCCCTCTCCAGCCCTGGCATTGTCACAGAGCTGCCCCAGCCCTGCATGCCCTTGCCCCCAGCTCTGCTGACCCTGTCCTGCCTTCCCCGGGGGGCTGAGGACTCCCCCAGGCCCCAGTGACCCCACAGGTGTGCAGGGCACAGCCTGCTCTGCCCAGGTGCCACAGGGAGTGTCCCTGGGGTGGTCCCCAGCTGCCCCCGGGCCACTCCTGCTGCAGAGCTCTCCCAGTGACTCTGGTTCTACCCAGTAACTCTGGTTCATCCCAGTAACTCTGGTTCATCCCAGTAACTCTGGTTTATCCCAGTAATTCTGGTTTATCCCAGTAACTCTGGTTTTACCCAGTAAGTCTGGTTCTACCCAGTGACTCTGGTTTATCCCAGTGACTCTGGTTTATCCCAGTAACTCTGGTTTTCCTGGTAAATCTTGTTTTTCCCTGTTGCTAATGCAGAGCCCCCGCCTGGAGCCGCTGAAGGAGGAAGCCATGTGCAAGGGACAGGATGCAGTGAGTCCCTGTCCCAGCCCCTGTCATTTCCCTGTCCCTGTCCCCATCCCTATCCCTGTCCCCATCCTCGTCCCTGCCCCTGTCCCTGTCATTTTCCTGTCCCCATCCCCATCCCTGTCCCTGTCCCTGTCCCCGTCCCTGTCCCCATCCCCGTCCCCGTCCCCGTCCCCATCCCTGTCCCTGGTGTGCAGTGCCCCCTGTCCCCCGCTGTCCCTCCTGGCAGCTCTGCTGTTCCTCGCTGATGGAGCAGCCAGGGCTCCCGGGCTGGGTCCATCCAGGGGACAAGTGCAGCTCCCTCGTGTCCCTGCCAGCCCCGGGCAGTGCCCCCTGCCAGCCCCGAGGGTGCCCACAGAGCCAGGGGAGGGGTCCCCGAGCCCCTTTCTGGGGGGATCTGCAGCATCTCCTGTCCAGGTGGGCAGCAGCGCTTGGTGTCCCCGCTGTCCCCAGCGCTGCGGTGGCACCGGGGGGGAGCAGGGGGCGGGAGGGGACAGCCCCTGAGCCCGTGCTGTCCCTGGCAGCACATCCTGGTGGCCAAGAGGCAGATCTCGGTGGCCACGAGCAGCATCGAGCAGTTCCGGCGGGCGGTCCGCTCCTACACCGAGGGCACGGCCGGCCACAGCAGCTGCCTGCAGTGAGTGGGGGCTTTGCTTTCGGGGTGGTTTGGGGGTGGTTTGGGGGGTTCCCCCCCAGAAATGCGGGTTTTTGCCCCTCGGGGGACACAAGGGTATGTGTGGGGTGTTTTGTGGGCGAGGCTGGGCTGGGACCTGGCAGGCAGTGTGCCCCCAGTGCCATCCCATCTGCTGCAGGTGTTCCCAGTAAGAACCAGTGCCTGCGGAGGAGTGGGGGGGTTGTGGCTGTGGTGTGTTCCTGTGAGTGAATGCAGGAGCTCCCGCAGTGCTGCAGGACTCAGCAGCAGTGGGAAGGTCAAGGGCAGGGCTCCTGCCGTGCTCTGGTTGATGGAGAGCCTGTGGGAAGCTGCCCCTGGGGAGGCCAAGGCTGCCCCAGAGCCCTGCAGGGCCATGGCAGTGCCAGGCTGGCCCTGATGGCACAGCTGCTCCCTCCCCTGTCCCACGGGACACTCCAGGCTGCCTCCAGCAGGGAATGTTCCTGCTGTTCCCGTTTCAAGTGTCCTTCCTCAGCTCTTCACTTTCAACAGCACAAATTCACATTTTCAGTCCAAACAAAAGGAAGATGCTGGCTGTGACACGTGTGGTGGAGAGAATGGGAGGGTTCTCCTTTGGAATTGATGTTTTTTTTCTCTCATCAGGGTTATTTGTGGAGGCAGCAGGGTGCTGTTGTGTGGGCTGGCTCTCCATGGGAGCACAAAGCTGGAGCTGAGCCTGGGGACATTCCATGGGGCTGGGTCCCTGCAGGGCATCACAGAGCCCCGTGTGGAGCAGGGCACACAGCCCCAGAGCTGCTGGGTGACATTCTGTGCTGTGCCCCCGGGCTTGGCCCCCTCCAGCAGCTGCAGGAAAGGCTTGGCCTCAGCTGGAATTGCTGCTGCTGCTGCCCAGCACAGCTGCTTCCCCTGGCCCTGCACCCCAGCACTGCAGGGAGCCCTAGCTGCCTCCCCCAGCAGCCCCAGCCTCTCCTGGGAATGTGGAATTATCACTGTGGGGGCAGAGAGCTGGGGGTCTGTGCTGTGGGCCCAGCTCCTGCCCCCGTGCCTCAGTTTCCCCCCGTGTGAAGGGTGACACCACCCTGCTCCAAGGGGCTGGAAGGATGAGCTGTGGCAGTGCTGGGGAGGAGTAAGAAATAATAAAACACGGTAAGAAATAATAAAACACAGTAAGAAATAATAAAATACAGTAAGAAATAATAAACCACAGAAGGTGCTGGCTCCTGGGCAGCAGCAAAGAGCTGTGTGAGAGCTGTACAGCTCCTCTGCCTCCTGGACCCAGGAACTGTGGAGCAGGATTTGGGTTTGGGATCCTCTGGAGCTGGGAATGCACCCAAACTGTGCTTTGGGAGCCTTGTGGGGAGAGTGATGGGCACAGCAATGCCAGGGCCGTGCCAGGGCCATGCCAGGGCTTTGCCAGGGCCGTGCCAGGGCCATGCCAGCCTGCCCAGGGCTCAGGGTCCCTCTGTCCCCACAGTGTCTCTGCCTGCAAGCTGACTGACGAGGCCTGCTTCATCCTGTACGAGTTCTGGCAGGACGTGACCTCGTGGAGAAGGTGGGGCAGTGCCCACGTGAGGGCTGGGGGGCTCACAGGGGGTGCCCCCTGCTCCCTTCCCCTGCCCAGCCTGTCCCCCTGCCCTGCCCTGTGTGCCCTGGGGCACAGCTGCAGCTCACAGGGCTGAACACACCCATGAAGGCTTTGGGGAGCAGGGGCTGGTGCTGGGGGTGCAGAAGCTGCTCTGTGTGGGCACAGGGCCCTGGCACCACATCCCCCTGACCCCACACCCTGCTTTACAGCCATTTGCAGTCCAGCTGCAGCAAGACTTTCCAGCAGTCCATCCTCAGCCTGCTGGAGTCCCCAGAGCTGCTGACCACCATGCTGTTCCCAGGTGAGGCTGCCCCAGTCCTGCTCTGATGGGCTGCACAGGGCAGGAGCAGGGCAGGAGCGGGCACTGGGGCTCCCTCCAGAGCACAAAATGGCTTTGGGGTTACCTGAATGAGCTTCTTCAAGCCTCAGGGTGAGACCTGTTGTCCCCAGCAGGTCTGGCTGTGTCAGCTGGGCTCTGTCCCCTGCCCAAGGGTGGGGACAGCCAGGAGCAGGGACACTGCCCACGTAGCAGATGAGCTGAGTCCTGGCCCAAATACAGCTGGTGCCTCATTTTGTATTTCTCCTGAGCCCTGAAGCTGCTCTGCAAAGTGCTGCTGCTCCCAGCTCAGGGCCAGGGGTTCCAGCCCAGCTGGGCCAGGGGGTGGCCAGCACAGGGAATGTGCCATTCCCAGGGTAGCCATAGAAATGGGACCAGCTGTGGGGACATTCCCAGGGTACCCTTGGAAGTGGGACCAGCTGTGGGGACATTCCCAGGGTACCCAGCTGTGGGGACTGGGAACCAAATTCAGCCCCAGTTTGCTTTCAGGGATCACTTCAGGGTCTTGGAAAATAATAGTCCATAAAAGATGGATTAATTTGGACTGAACCCTGCTGCTCCTGAGTTGCCAGTGCCACTGACCACGTTCCCAGTGCCACTGACCACATTCCCAGTGCTCTGCTGCAGGAATTGCCACAGTGCCAGGGGCTCACCCCTCGCCAGGCTCCCTGCCCAGGGTGGGGGTGGGTGCTTTAGGGACCTGCAGGGTCAGGTCCCCCATCTCTGCCACCCCAAATCCCCATTCCCAGTCTCACACTGCCCTCAGCTCCCTGCTTTCCCTCTCTTCCCAGCTTCCTGGTGGATCATGAACAACAACTGACCCGGGGCAGCGTCTCCAGGACACCATCAGCATGCGGGAGGACGTGGGCACAGCCTTTGTCACCTCTGTCACCTCCCTGTCCCTCCATTCCCTCCTGTGGCCAGCGGGGGCTGCCTGCCCTCGGCCCTGCCAGTGTTTTGCTCTTTTCATGTTAATTTATTTATTTCTCCTGCTCCTAAGCCGGTGTCTGAGCTGCCTGGGGGGGCTCTGGGTGGGGTGGCAGCCCTGCCCCTGGGGGAGCATCCCAGGGGGGGCTTCAGTCCCTCTTGCACTCAGCTCCTCTTCCTCCTGGCTCTGAGCTGCCCACGGGTGGGCAGGGACACAGCACTGGCCAGCTGTGACATCCAGCCCAGGGAGCCAGGTGGCCTGATATGGATTGGCAAGAGTGTTTTATAGGGGAAAATATTTCCTGAAGTGCTTCTGGCAAGGTGTACCTGCTCATGGCCTGCCACGCTGGCAGCATGTGCCTTTGGGGCTGGCTTTGTGCCCCAGCAGCTGTGCCCATGGCTGAACCTGTCCCCAGCACATCCCAGAGAGGCTCCAGTCCCTGCCCAGCTCCCAAACCCAGCCTTGGCACTGGGCAGTGGTGCCAGGAGTGGAGCTGAGGCAGCGGGGAGGGGTCTGGGCTGGGGAATAAGTGAGGGGGGAAGGCTGGGGCAGATCCCACCTGCTCCAGGGTGGCTCTGGGGCTTTCCTTGGTGCTGCTGCAGCAGCAGAGCCTCTGCTGAGCTGGGAAAAAATGCATTGTCACAGGCAGTGTGGAGGGAGTGGGATGGCACAGGGGACAGGAGGGACACCAGCTGTGGGAATCTATCAAATCAGAGGGTTTGGGGAAAGCTGCAAAAGGCAGGCCTCAGACACAGCAGAACTGTGATTAGAGCTGAGCAGCAGCCATGAGATTGGTCAGATTCCCACAGCCAGCCACCCATGCTGGCCTGGAGAACATCATCCTTGTGCCCTGCCTGTCCTCAGCACCAGTGTGGCACAGGGGTGCCTGCAGCCCCAGTGCTCACCCACCCAGCACCTGCTGCCCCCCCAGGCTCCTCTCCCAGTCCCTGTGGGTGCTGCTCCAGCAGAACCATTACCTGGGGTGCAGCTCCCTCCTGGGGACCCCAGACAGGCTGTGCTGGGTGGCTCTGACCCAGGGGTGACAGCACAGCAGGGCTCACAGGGTTTTAGGGTGTTTGTTTTGCTCCAGCAGGAGCTGCCTGGGTTGGGGTGCCAGGGGCTGGCCTGGCTGATGGCAGGAGGAACCTGCAGGGAGCAGGGAAGCTCCTGCTTGGAGGGACAGCAGCAGCCCCTGCCAGCCCAGCCCAGGGCAGGCTCAGCACACAGACACAAATGAGGGGTGGGGGGCAGAGCCTGTCCCTGTCCCCGTCCCCAAGCCCCCCATTGTTTGTCTGATTACCAATCCCTGGGCTTGCCCTGGCCAAAGCCAGGATTTGCTGGGACCATGGGGCAGCAGAAGTGGCTCAGCCCAGGGCAGGGGCAGCTGCAGGGCCACACTCCTGGCCCTGGGAGTGACAAACAAGGGCAGCAGGGATGGTGCAGCCACAGCAGCACCACCAGGAAGGGCCAGGCTGTGCCAGGGCACTGCCAGGGGGGTCAGACAGAGGCAGCCCTGCAGCAGGCACTGGTTTGGGATTCCTGAGCTGCCTCCCCAGCCCCATGTAGGGTTCACCCCTCAGTTTTGGGGTTTTTCACCGCTGGATTAATGTTTGCAGCAGCCTGGAGATCAAAATCCTCTGTTCAAGCCAAGGTGTGGGCAGGGGGCATCCCTGGGGGGCACAGGGCTGGCAGTGGCAGCCAGCTGGGACAGCACCCTGCAGGCTGCTCTGTGCTCACATAAAAAAGATCATTTATAAAAAGCTCAGAAAACAACACACTGAGCTATGAAGCCAAAGGAATCACTGAGGATAGGGCTGAACTCCAGCTCTGCCTCACTTGCTCCCAGGCTTTGCCCAGAGCATCACCACCACAGGGGAGGCAATTTCTGTCCCTAAAAGCCCAGGGTGTGGCAGCATCCCCCAAAAACCCCAAGAGCTGCCTGAGCATTGCTGAAAACCTCTGCCCCTTCCCAGAGAGAAGGGGAGCTGGAGGATGAATATAGTCTTTTTATTGACTACTTTTGAGTAGAACAAACTAAATACATCTGTAACAGTTTGGGTTCCTTTATACAGGACATTAAATAAGTTATGCACAGGAATGAAGTAACAAATTTCTATTACAGAATTAAATGTCAAAAAAAAAAAAATAGAAACCTTAACCCAATGTCTTCCCACTCCCCAAGTTCACATTTATCATTCCATCTTTAAAAAAAACAACAAAAAAGGAAAGAAGCAATCATTCTAATCATGACTGTTAGTATTTCATTCATTTACACTGGGGTTAATTTTAATACACAGCCATCAAAGTTGCATGAGAATTATGGAAGACAATCTATTTACAAGCAATTCCTCCCAGCCCTGCCCTGCTCCCCCTCCCCACCCCAGCCTGGCACTGCCACCACTCACCCACAGCACGAGCCTGGGGCTGCAGGTGAGGAGGGGACCTGGGATTGACCTGAGGCTGTTCCAAAAGTGTCCCTTAGGGCAGAAAATCCCTTCCTGCCAGCCCCAGGATGGGCTGCTGCAGGTCAGGGTGGCTCCAGTGCCACCCCCCTGGGAGCTGCCTCAATGCCAGTGTGCTCCAGCACCAACTCCTGGGGACACAGGGGACACATCCCCAGGGCCACTGGAGCTGTGGGATTCACTTCAACACCAGGAGACCTTGTGGCTTTTTAACAAAACCTTGCAGACCAGCTCCATGCCACAAGAGCAGCTTCCCAAGGGGCCAGGCCTGGAGCAGCAGGTTCCCTGCTCACCCCTGTGACAACTCATTACAGCTCATTATTGGCCTCCCATTGAAAAAGTGATCAGAAATAATTAGGGAATGACTTGCCTCATTGGGCTCCAGCCCAGCAGTGGCACACACACAGTCCCAGACATGGCTTTCCTGAAGAGGAGGATTTCTAGAGCCCCTGTGGGAGTGGGGAGCAGCTCCTGGAGGGCACATCCCCTCCCTGCCACGGGCTGTGCCACTGCCACCCTGTGTGACACTCCTGGCCAGCCCTGCTGCAGGGCTGTGCTGCCACAGCCTGCACTGCCCTGGGGGCCCCCAGTCCCTTCTTCCACCCCACAGCAGGGACTCTGGGATGGACAGAGCTCCCCAGGCTGGCCCCATTCCCCAGGGACCTCGTGATCCTCTGGTTTTGAGATCCTCTGATCCTGGGGTTTCAGGACCATCTCTGAAGGTGGATGCACATCCCTGGGCATCTCTGGATACAGCACTGCAGGAATCCCCTGGAGCAGGGGATAAAAATCCACACAGGACACCCAGTTCTGCCTTTCTTTCAGCAGTGTGAGTGGAGAGCACAGGCTGTAAACAACCCCTTGCACCAGTGAGGATCCCTGGGCTCAAAAACAACAGCAGGAACTCACAAACCAGCAGCTTCCAGGCAGTGAAAAAACAAAACAACTGCCCCCAGGTGGAAAGGGCACCTGCAGCCAGCCCAGATCTGCTGTGCACGTGTTCCCCCAGCACAGGCCCCACCCAGGAAACACCCAACTGTCTGTCTCACCACAGACTGGGATGAAATCCAGGCCATCCAGCACTACCTCCCTGCCACTGCCTCTTGTTTCAGAGCAGACAAATCCCCTCCTCCCTCTCTGCAACCCTCAGCTGCCAGCCTGGAGGCAGGAGAAGTGGGCTCAGCTTTTGCCATCCACAGAGGATGAGATGCTCCCGCTGGGAAATTGGCTCTGGTCTGTTCACAGCAACAACCAGCCCACACAGCCACCTGAGGCACAGCTGCCTGGGAGCAGGGAACACACATGGAAATGATGGAGGAAAGGTGGCAGGAGGAGGCAGTGGTGGCTCTGGCACCTCGGGAAGCGAGTCTGAGCATGCCACAAGGACAGGGCTCCCTGCTTGGGCACCACACTCTCAGCACCTCTGGCATGTGCCAGTGCTCTCCCCATAGTCCAGGTCCCCTGAGTGGGTGCCCAGTGTCCCCCAGGTCCTGACACTGCTCTGGTGTCCCCCTGAGAGGAGCAGGGAGATGCTGCAGGCGAGGCTCACCCCAGTCCACGAGCCACAAAGGAAAAGGCAGGATGAGAGGGCAAGGCCGGAGTGTCGGTGCCCCGATGTGTCAAATATATCAAGTGATAACAGTTGCTGCAGGGGCTTTTTCAGCTTTAAAAACCCCAGGGAACTCATCCAGTGGAGTGAAGCCAAGCCTCCCTCCTAGAGCCCGTTGGTGTCTATGGCTGTCACGGACGCCGGCGTGGAGGAGCGCGAGGTGGTGGCCGAGCTCTTCTCCAGGGCTGGGCTGGGGATGCCATCCAGGCTCTTGGCTGCTGCTGCCACCCGGCCCGTGGGCAGTGCCAGGGGCTTGCTCTGGCCGTGCAGGCCTTGCCCACAGATGCGGTGGTGCCTCTCCCAGTCCTTGTGCTGGCAGAAGGAGCCGCAGTAGCGGGCGATGTTGCAGCCGCTGCACGTCTCGCTGGCCTTGCGGCCACAGTTCCAGCAGCTCTGCAAGACCAAAGACACTGGGCTTGAAAGGGGGTTCACTTCTCTAGGAGCTGCAGGATGGTGCTGACTCAGCTCTGGAGGGGGCTGTTCATGCCCTCTGGCCCAGATTTGAGAATATGAAAATGAGCAAGCCATTAATTGTTGCTATTTCCCAGCTCTTTGCCAACGGTTCTAACCCCCACTGCTCGTTGCCCACAGCCTCTGTCACACTGCTCCAGGCACATCCTCTGCCCTAGACCCACCCGAATGCAGACAGGAAACAGCAGGCAGGGACTGAAAAACACTCTGCAGATGCTGCTATTGGGCCTTTTTATTTCCTGTTTTAAGCAGCTCTATTTTGGTCTCCCTCCCAGCCAAGTGCTCTCTGCGGGGATCAGGGCGCGCTGCACAGGCACCATTTGCTCCGCACCCTGCCTCGCCGCACAAGAGGTTGGAGCAGCCAATTTGGAAAAGCAAATGCTCATTTGAAAGCCTCCCAGCCAGGTGGAAGCACTGCCAGAGCCCGAGCTTCAGTCTGGAAGCGGAGCAAAGCCCCTCTGGCCGCAGGGAGAGGCGTCAGCTGGTGGCTCCCGCGTGCCACCGCTTCCCTCGGAGCGCGGGGCAAGGG